TCATCTTAATATTTAGTAGCTCTCAGCATCTATATAGTTCTTAAATACAAACTCTATATAATTAAGCAGTCTCTAAATCTCATCCTTCCCTTTAGGGTAGCTTCCAGTCGAGCAAGCTCTGTCTCTATAGCACTCTTGGCTTTTTTTTCAAGCTTCTTCTTCGGTCTTTTTTATGCCATTTCCTGTGCGTCTTTCATCTAATGCGCATTAAGCCAAGTCTACTATGCGTTGGCCCTTATTGGCATTTTCGATATTTGCGTTTCGTTTTTGAAGGCCATTTCTATGCAGTTGCCGTAACGTGCCGCACGGCGCAACGACTTCCAACTTCCAGCAGGCCACTCTGTGCAACATTATCGGGCATCAACTGCTCCAACTGGCCGGGCCAAGTGGCCTGGCTGCTTAGACAGAGAGGCCTGCGCTTCGTTTGCCATTTGATTTCCGTTTGAGCTGGGCGAGAGAGAGCGAGCTTTGTTATTGGGGTCCATCGTAAATTAGCAGCGGTTTATTGCCAGTACGTGACATTCTGGACGCGTCCCGGCGTCTGCAATTATTACGCCGTCCATTCATTTGCTGGTCAGCAGCGGCAGCTCGACTAGCCTGACTCGGGCTAACTTTTTTTTATGCTTTGTGCTGGCTTTTGTGTGTGATTGTCTTTTAAGTTTCTAGCCTGCCACTGCTGCCTTTGTGGCTTATGTGAGGTCACGCCCACTTGAAGGCGTTTGGCACTTTAACATTTCCTTATTCAATATTTGCACAACAATAAAACTTTGATTGTTCCAATTGTTCATGGGGCAAAGAACTTAAGAAGCCCTGCCTCACATTACGCATACGACGCGTGGCACTGATTTTAGTTTATTTCTTTGAATGGCTAATGAAAAACGAAGGCATTGATGGAATTTCAGTGGCTGTAAATACAAAGGGAGAGCGGGAGAGTGACAGAGATAGAGAGAGGCAGGCAGATAGAGTATTAAATATTTCCGTTTGCCTTTGTCTTAGGCTATAAACAAAAAGATTTCACGTTATTTTCTTTTACGATTTTCAATTGGAAACTTACTTTAAATAAAATGTGGCGAAAATATATATCAATTGATGGATGTTCTGTTGATGTATAAAAAAGCAGAAAAAAGAGATTGCAAAGGGACGTGCCAAAGGCATGGAAGTAGCTTAGAAGGAATGAACTTAAATTTTAAAAAGTAGCAAAACTTTTGTGAGTTTAAACAGAAATTAGGTCAGGTGAAATTTTATAATTTTCAATTTAAAATATAAAATTTGTATAGAGAAAGGGTACAGATAGAATTGAGTTGAAGCTAGAGATAGATGTAGAGCTGAAAGTTAAGGTAGAAAAAGTAGATCTAAGTCTACACATTTAGTAGATCTAGAGACTTATTTAAAGAGAAGTTGGTATAGGATTCATCAAGCACTCATTATATAAGAGCAACTCTGAGTTTGTTCACTTCTCAATCCAATTTATGAATTTAACTGCCATTCAAATTTGGTCTTATATTGGCTCTATACATAGAAAGCGAAACACATATTATTATTTAATTTTTTTTATGCTAACTTTATGTTTTTCTTTATCTTTTATTAAATTTAATTTCAAGCTAAAACTATATCTTTATTAAATACAGAGCAATGTCTCCTTACCATTCCAGCTATTCAATTATATTATTCTAATTAAATTATAATATTAAAAACAGTTTCTTGTTAAAGCTGCGATGCTATTTCAAGGGTTGTTAGTTTTTATACTATCTTGAAGCTATGCCCTTAATAACTGTACTAACTGCACATCATCCTAATGAGCTAGCAAGTTAAAGTTAATGCAATAGCAGTAGTGGCAGCAGCAGTAGCAGCAGCAGCAATAATAATTGCAGCAGCAGTTGCAGTTGCAGCTGACAAAAACCCTCGCAGCACGTAACGCGTTGCAATTCAAAAGTAACGCAGATTGGAAGTGTGTGTGTGTGTGTGTGTGTGTACGTAGGTCTGTGTGTGCATGCTGTGGAGCATTAAGATGGAGAAAGCTTTTGCCATTTACAATGCGTGACATAAAGTCGAGTCGAGTCGAGTCGAGTCGCCCCTCAATTGCAGCAAACGTGCTGCATTTTATGTTGCTGCTGCTGTACGAAGGGGCAATTGAACCAAAAGTTTGTTGACTTTTTGTCATTGTTTCGAATGGCTAAAAGTTCAGCGTGAAATGTTTCATAATTTGGCTTACACAAATGGCCAAAAACTGACAATCGACCAAGAGTTAAGAGCGGTACGTGTCAGGGACTCAGCTATATGTGCTCTCTATATATATGTATATGCGCATAGAGATATACGAAACTTTTGACGAGCATCAACAGTTCATTTCACTGTGAACTTTATGCCAAAGGCAATAAACTTGTTAGAGCGTAGGCATGCGGGAGGGGCGAACGTGGGTGGGAGACATGCATAACATAATAATTACATATAATAAAAACAATTTTTGGCATTTTATGACCACATAAAACTCTAGCATATTTTCAGGCAGCGCACTAAATTATTTGCAGTTATAACAACAGCAAACAGCTAGAAATAACAACACATATGTAGAATAACAACAACAACAACAACAATTGCCATCGACCAGAGCCAACAAAAAATTGAAGGAATTTACTGATGAATTGCGGTTTAGTTTTATGAGTTGCCAGAAGACAACATGCACTATAAATGTGTGTGTGTGTGTGTGTGTCATTCTTTTTATGATCAGCAGCAGCAAAATAGCAAACAAGCAGCGCTGCGTCAACATTTTATGCGTCTTTAATGTTTGTTTTGTGCATAAAAATCGAGACGCGACAAAGTCGAAGCCTTAAAACCCAAGGCTCAAAACAAGCACAAGCGCTCTAGAAGGCAGTGCTCGACTAGAAAATGCCCTCTAGCTGGTAACAAAGCTATTGCTTGTTAATATTCTGGATTTTGAATGTGTTGCTGACTGAAATTAATGCCATTTGATATCGATTTTTATCGATTTTAGAGCAATTGAATGAGTGAGCGCTTTAGGAAAAGCTACGTTAAGCACTTGATTTGTATATAAATTACAAGATTAATATTCATATAGACAGACGTTAAGACGGCCAGGCAGATGGATGGACAGAGGGATATACAGACAAAGAGCCAGAGGGACAACTAAACAGATAAAATAGGGCAGCTGGAGAGAGTTAAATTAAATCACCTGATTTTTCTCCAATCAAGAATATATACACTATGAAATTAAGCCTCTCTTTCTGCTTGTTACATATCTATACACAAGCACAATATACCCGCTTTACACATTTGCAATGTCTTGCAAGGTATAAAAAGTTGAGCTGCGTCCTTTTGGTAGGCGTCTTAGATGATATTTTAATGTGCGCACTTTGACACTTTTAATGAATATATACCCAGCATTAATTTACTTAATGAGAGCGCGTCCATTTAAAGTACAAGAGATATATGTATATATATTATATATATAAATAAGGAAAGTTTGACAAATGGCAAAATGGATGAAATGTTTGCTCGCACTCGCTCTCCATTTGCCCGAATGACATTGCGAACGACAATGGCGCAAACAATTTCCTGCTCATCATTGGCACATAATGAAGTTGGTAACGAAAAGCCATTGCTACTCTCACACACACATGCACACACACGCGCGCGCATACTACACACATGAGTGAGTGACGTTCAGGACTTGGGCTCAAATACAGGACGTGCAACGTGAACGGTCGGCTTAATGAGCCGCACTAAATTCACACGAAACTTTTTGGCCAACAAAAGCTCCAGAGACTCGACCAGACAGATTGGGCGAAAGGAGTGCGGGGGCGTGCCAACTATTTATCGCTGATGGCCGGACAAATGTGTTGCACTTGGGCGACTGGCAGGAATTTATTGACACACTCAATCGAACGCTTTTGCTACGAAAAACACAATTTTGCTCAACGTTCTACGCTTGGCCAATACAAACAGCAGCACTGCGTGTTGGCCAGGCCAACAAAAAAAAAAACCAACAACAAAAATGAGAAAGTTGTTATCAAAAAGTTAGTCAAGCTCATCTTCATTTAGCTGTTTGGCTGCTCTGGTTTTTGTTAATTTTTCTTTTTTTTTTCTTTTGCAATGAGAAGTTTGGAGTTGATTTGATACCCTGTACTGCACATGGGGTATTATGCTTTCGTGCATAATTATGGCTAGCTGTGCAGCGAGCATGTCTTTCTAACTGCTTATTAATCGGTCCATTTGTGCATAGGTCTTACCTCAAGGAAAATTATTGTATGGCATACTCAGTAAATATTTCTACGCAACTTATCGATTTGCTATGTCATGTCTATATAATCGATAAATATCGTTTTTTTGCTTATGCTTAAAGCATAACTTGAACTACACAAAAACTAGAGAAAAGCTATTATGACTGCATTAAATATAAGTAAATACATATTTATATAAATAAACAAATATTTAAATAAATAAATAAATAAATAAATATAAATAAATAATGCATTTCGCACCAAAATCGAGGGAGGTCAACTTATGTCTTAAGCTTTAGTTATACTCACATATGTATATCATATTCTTGACCCGAATTTGAGTAGGATTATTCATCTAGAATCCAATTGAATAATAATTTTCCCAGTGTCAAAGATGGTGCCTTCAAGGATTTAAACAACAGTTGTGTGCATTGTACAGGGTATCTGCTAGTCGCGTACTCTCAAGGAGAGCACTCATACATGTTTTTATTTATTTTATTATTATTGTCTCTCCTCCCATTTCAACTAATAACTAAGCTAATCTAAAAAAAAACTTAACAATTTAAAGTACATATGTATAAGTATATGTGTGTGTCTGTGTGTGTATATAAAGTCTGTAGTTTAAACATATGTGGAACGAATCAGAAATTTGTGACGAACACTTCAAATTGTGCAGGAATGTTAAGAACATATATAAGATATATATAAATAAAATTAGATATATATAAATATATATATATATATAGAAATTTGTACAATATGCTAATCATCATCCAGTTCATTAGCAGCAGCTCGATGAAATTCAATGCTGCTAACTTGTTGCATGCCTCTATTGTTGCTGCCACTGCTGCTGCTTGGCAGGCATTGATCCAGGTCCTCATCCACTTCGGCAGTTGCTAAGGGTGCTTTACCGACCACATTTGAGCTCAATTCCAACATTTGTACATCCTGGACATGTCCGTTTGATCTATATCTGCGGCGATTCTTAGTTAAAGGCAACTCTTTGGACAAATTCACGTAAACCAAAGCCATGACAGCAAAAGATATAATCACATAGGCTGCAATATATATAGAGAGAGAGAGAGAGGGAGAGAGGTAGATAGAGAGAGAAAGAGTGACTCATTAAGTTATGTTAGAGTATGCAGAAGTCGTCAACCCTCACTCACTTTCCATTATCAGATTGATAGTGCGGTACGTTGAACCGCGCGCGTCCAATTGACAACCTCGTTTATGGTCGTATAGCTTGGGCACGAACCATAGCAACGTCAAAGAGTACCAAATGATGACCGACCAGCGATCTCTCTTACGCAGCCCCAAGAAGAGAAACGCATTGAGAAATACGTTGCCCATGTAAACGGCTTGCCAAACAAATGGCTCACTGTCTATATATGAGAAACAAAAACAAAAACAAAGAAACAAAAACAAAAACAGAAACCGAAACACGCAACACAAACACAGCTGTCATTTAATTATATATATGTGTATATCAATCAATTAGAATCGATTATATATATTCCATATAGGTATATAGACATATCGATTGAGCTTACCGTCGTCGCTGGCTTTTTGCAATGCCACGCACCACATTAGAAAATATGATAGCGAATAGTAGACATTGATTATTGTAATGCCAAGGCCCAAGTCCAAATATTTGCTCATCTTGGCTGGTGGCAGTGTATAAGTGTGTGTGTTTGTGTATGTGAATGTGTGTATGTGTATGTGTGTGTGTCTGTGTATAAACTGTGAGCGAATAATTTCGCTCTTATGACATAAACAAACGCGAATCCGAACCCGAGACCGCTCGCCCAGAACGAGGGTTCAGCGTAGACTGGCGTACATCTTGTTTGGTCAGCCGAGCGAAAGAGAGAGCGAGAGGGTAGGAGAACGAGCATACACGTGAGAGAATGCTCTGAAGAGCAAGAGCGGGTGCAAAGAGAGCGGCGAGCACGTGCTGTGGAATCCATTCGCATAGCAAACAACAAACATGCTGTATGCATAGCCAGAGCGACAGCCAGTCGACGGGCGTATGCCCTTAGCAAAGCAAAGCGTAATGAATATATAAATAAAATAATTACTTTTTAATATTATTAATATTTAAGCAAACAAAATAATATATATAAAACTTAAACGTATATAAATACAAAACTAATACTTAAATAAATACTTGAATATATAAAATAAAATATAGGCTTCAAATTTTTAAAATTTTTCATATTTAAAAAATAATTATAATAAATAAATGAAAAATTAAATCTTAAGTCGCTAGTTAAGTTCCACAGAGTATATTATAGTCTACATAGGCAATGACAGCACTTTTTTTCATTATGAAAATATAAGCCTTATCATAAATGCTTCTTTAAAAACATGTACGTTTTATCAAAAGCGCTGGAAGTTAGTGAATTCGAGTATTCAGTTTTATGTTCCACTTTATGCTCTAATCATCACAATCATTGCCCTCTGCTCCGGCACAATCGATGTTCCTTTCACGTGATCCACAATTGTTATCTCCTCTGCTACCTCCACCTACGCTGATTTCATCATAGCAACAATCAATCATATCGCAGCAGTTATGCATATCATTGTTATCAATAGAATTGAAATCGAAAGTTTTACTATGGCTATCAGCGAAATCAGTAGTTATTACGTCTAGTGCACTAAGCGACTTTGTTACATTCGAATTCAATCAATTCAAGCGAATTGAGCAACAATTTGTATTTTTTATTTACTTAAAAACTTATCACATGAACCTAAAGCCAATAACGTTTTGATGACTATTGCCAGTCAGTAAAACGTGTAAAAATATTAAAGCCGGCAAGTCAAATTCCCCCTGTCTGAACCATTTTTAGAGTGAATTTGACTTGATTTATGCTTTTTTGGCAATAATTAGAGACTGGCCAACGTTAAGACCAATCGCCCACATTGGGCATTCAGCGTAGTCTGTGAAATTGTTGCGTTCGATTGGGAAGAGAGCAAATGCAAGCGCAAAGGGGGAGAGAGTGGGTTGTGGAAACCATTCAAACTGTATAATGTATGATATTTGAAGAAATTCATTTAAAAACTTAAGAAATGCGATTGCAATTGTTTGTTGCCATATATATATATATATTATAATTTCAATTTAATCTGGTCACATATATGTATATATGTATATATGCATATATCTTTATAGTCATGCATTGCATATCGCTGGCTATTGAGTTCCATAATTCTCATATTTCATATTTCGGCCTTTATCAACGCCGCCTTCACTTAAAAATTGACCCAAGTCCCAGAACGTTCTAACAGTACGAAAGTTCATCGTCGACTGCCCAACGTGTTCGATGGTCAGTCAAGCGTGAGAGTGAGTGATGTGGAGAGCACGCGCATATGAGAGCGAGGGAGAGACTGTTTGGCACGTGCTGTGGAACCCATTCACATTAAAACTCACAAATAATTTAGAAATAAGAACGAAAAAGCATAGGAAAAAGAAAAGTATTTTTAAAATGCATATTAAATATATAAAATTATAAAAAATAATTATTTAGTATTGATGAAAAAAATTTATTTTATTTATTTATTATAAATAATTAAAAATATAGTAAAAAATACATTTAAATTATATTTGATCTTATTAGGGTGTCTATAAATCTACATGATCTCTTTTGTTGCCTCTTTGAGTTTGTTATTTGAGTATTCAGTTTTATGTTCTACTTTATGCTCTAATTATCGGAATCGCCTCCACAAACATTTTTTCATGCTCTTCTAATGTCGTTGTTCCCTTCGCCTCTTCCACAATTGTTATCTACTCTGTTGTCTTTACGTTTGTTGGTATTATCATAGCAACAATCAGCCATATCATTGTTATCAATGGAGGTGAAATCGAAAGTTTTGCATTGGTGCTATCAGCGTTGTCGGAGGTTGTTAGTTCTGATAAACGAGGAATCAATTCACTCTAAAGTTCATCTGTTCAGTTTTATTTTATGTGATGAGAACTTTTCCCTTGGTCTCAATCTGGTGGAATTTGTTGTACGATTTACACTCAATTTATAGCTAAACAATTCTCTCAACTGGTTCGACATGTGGGCGAACATTACACAATCATTGAGTGATTATAACAATTAAAATATTTTATTTATTTAAGTTAATTTATATATAAATATTATATTTCATATGCAAACAATTAGTTCTTTCACTGTAAAAAATGAAGTAGGTTTAAATGTTTAGGGTAACAAAAAGTCTATTACAACTAATTTGATTCATTGTACAAATATATATAGTCTATGATAAATGCTCGATTCTTGATTTTTGTGAATTCAAAGTAGTGTATGCAATTTTTCACAAAGTCCGGCGAAATATTTTCCATATTCTGTTCTAATTATTACCGCCGGCTTCAGAATCTCTATTATTTTGATCATTATCAGGTTTGATAATTGTTTTTGCAGTCGTCACATTATTGGGTTTGATAATAGTGTGTGTAGTCGTCACATTCGTGGTAATTGTATGCAGAGTTGGTTCAATTAGCCTCAATGACTGTTGTCTAAGTTTGTAGAAGACAATTGCCATAAGTACAATTGAGATGAATATATAGACTGTTTTGGGAAGCGAAAATTCGAATTAAGATTTATAAAAAGTAATTGGAAGGTACTTAAATTACCTGTAATAATTAGATCTAGAAATCCATAAGTCGCATCGCTATAAACTCGGCAAACAAGTAAAATAACTGTAAGTGGCAACCACACAACGATGCCGAATCGATCTCTCTTCAGCATGCACCACAAGAGATATGCATTTAGCAGCAAATCAAGGCTATAGACAATAATCCACAGCCAATATGACGGCGAGTCTTCTATAAAAGAAATCATATACATATATATATAGATAGATATTTATATATCAATATATAAATTCGTTTTATTATTAGCAATAAATCACTTACCCCTGGCGCCTAACACATCAGATCTTCTCATCATAATGCCCAATGCAATCATTGTAAAGAAAATATTTAATCCAGCGACGCTAATGCCCAATTTCTTGGGATTATTAATTTTTATAGACATTTTTAAAAATATTCAAGAAGCAGCCAGACGACGTGTTTAGAAAGGGATTTCAATGTAGACTGTCATCCAATTAGTGGGGGTGGACAGCGAGATGAGCATGAGTATTGTGGACTCCATTCAAATTTTATATGGCATGAGTATGTTCTCAATGACTAAAAATAAAATTATATATACAAAAATTAGAAAAAAAGTTAAGTGCTTAGTAAAAATTATAAAAACAATATTTATCAATGAAATAATAAATTCAGCAAATTTAAATTTAATGCAATAGTTTTAATATTCAAATATTTTTTAATACTTAAAAAAAAAATAATATATAATAAACAATAAAAATATAATAGATCGGATGTGACTGACTAGGAAGTACCCCTCCATTTCAGCTGCTTTTCCAAAAATGTATCGTTAGAATTAAAATTCGAAATTGTTTGTTTCACTTAATGAAAATACTTTAAAATGATTTTAAAATTTAAAAACATCTGTTTAAAAAGAATTGTCACAAGGCTGACATAAGTTGAGAGAGAAAGACAAAGAGATAAAAAATAGTTTGAATTTATATTTTAATATATTTGTATAATATTTTGTATTATTGCACAAAATAGCTTACGTTACATTCATAAAATTTATAAATATATTTTTAGTAAGAATATTACATAGTTTAGTGTAGCAGAGTAAAAGCACATTTTGGTTAAAATTTGTTATAATAAAAACAATTATAAATGCTTAAATCTTTAGTTTTCAAGTTGGCATAATATATGACTTCAATATTTAAAAAGAGTATATAGCTTTTATATAGAGTATATATTCACTGAGTTTCATGTCTTTCATTGAGATTCTTGCTTTGTATCAGTTTTTGCTTCAGCGGAATGGAAATTGAAAGTCTTGGCTTGGTCTTCGGCAGAGTCCGTGCTAGTTAGTTCAGGTGCGCTAGGCATAAATTCAGTTGCAGGTGCCTTCATATTGAGACGCAGTTCAGGCTGCCAGCCAATGTTCGTTATTAGATTCCAGTTATCCAAATGCTGACCATTATTACGCTGATCCGACCAGCCTGCCATTGGAGGTGGAAGTGGTGAATCGGGTTTGATTTCGTCACGATTTATTGTCGAGTTGGAGCTGATCATTTGTGAAGCTGGTTTGGCGACGCCTAGAGGGCATTCACCAGGCATGAAAGTGCTTCTCTCTGATACAGCTGCAGTTGGTTTATTAACTTTGCTAGCCAAATTATGGCAGCGTTGCGGAGCTGCGAGTGGGATTTTCTCTCCAGTTTTCTCTTCTTTCAGCTTAGAGTACACATATGCCATCACAGTTAGAGAGAAGAATATATATACTTAACATGATAAGAAGAATAAAATGAATATAAGATTTCTTTATGAAAAATGCATTCAACTTACAATTGATAGGCATTTTATGAGGATTAAAGTTAATCACTCTGAGTATCAATAAAATTATTGTAAAAGGGAACCAAACTTTGATGGGAAATAGATCTTTCTTATGTAGGCTGAATAGGAGGTAAATGTTGACAAATAAATAAATTCCATACGCTGCTAGCCAAAGCCATTCAGCTGATTCGTCTGCTACCAGCATGATATATATTAGATATTTATATATTAAATATATTTATATACGCAACTTACAGTCTTCAGTGTGAGATGAAACTTTTTTGATTGCGATTGCCCAAAGATAAAATGTGACGACAATACTTGAGGCAGCAATGCTGACTCCCAAGTCTTCAGGGCGAACCATTTGAAAACAGAGACCGCAGAGTCTGGTCTACTACCCGAATAGAATACAGCTTACAGGGTAGATTGAGAGAGTTAAAGAGCGTGCCAGTTAAGAGAGAGTATGACGCATGCTGTGGAACCCATTCAAATTGCAAACAATACATTTTCCTAAGTACTTTTGATTTTAATGTAAATAACAAAAAATATTGAAATAAACAAAAAACAAAATAATGTTATTGCACAATGAAAAATTTTATTTATATTTTAAAAATTAAATAATATAAAGATGTCAAATTTCAACTAAAGTTCTTAAAGAACATATGGAAATACTTAAACTACAATAATTTCATGAGTCTCATTAAAGTAAGCACTTCTTAGCTTCAGCTTATGTTAAAGTCTTATTTAGCTTTAATACGGCGCAGTTTCTGAGTGCTCTCAATATCGACTATTGGCGAACTTTTCGAACACTCAAGACCTTTCGACCGGCAAGAGGGTTCAGCGTAGACTGGACTAGACAATACTTAGCAATACCAGCTGGCATAGCATCAAGAGAGAGCGGTAGACTCAAAATGTGGAACCTAATTAAATGTTCAAGAAAATTCTTACTCTATAATGACGAATGCTAAATACTCTTGCTAAACAATTGAGAGACTTTGCTGCTTTAAAGAAAAACTTGAGGACTGCAGGGTATTAGCTGATAAATAAGAAAGCTCTAAGTGTATAAAAAGTTGCCCAAAGAGACTTCAACTGTTACAAGAGATGATGCGCTCTTCGTGAATCATGACATCAGCGATTGCCCGTTATATTATTAAGACACAAAATGTTCTTCTCTGTTACACCCTCTCTATACAGATAGCTGCTGCGAGCTATTAGGGTATTCGTTAGTCGACAACTTCACTTCATAACAACTTGTTATCCGCGTCAGCAGAAATAATCATTGAGATATTGGAAACAACTGAAAAACCAATTCTCTAAACAGCAACTTGTTTGTTAATTAACTCTAATTGAATTTATGTTTTTATGTATATTTTTTATTATTGCACACAATAGTTCACATAACATTCATAAAATTCCTGAGTTAGAGTATTTCATAGTCTAGTTTTGTAGTGTAAACTACTAAAAGCACATTTCGGTTAAAACTTTTATAAGGAAATACAATATAAATGCTAAGATCTTTGGTTTTCAAGTTGACAGATATATGGTTTCTATATGCATATATCAGAAAAGAGTATATAAATTGTATATATGTATATTAAATGATTTTATGGATTATATTTTCGTGAGTTTCATGTTTTTACTTTGTTGTTTCATTAAGATTCATCATGTTAGCGGAATGGAAGTTGAAAGTCTTGGCTTGGTCTTCGGCAGAGTCTGAGCTAGTTAGTTCAGGTGCGCTAGGCATAAATCCAATTGCAGGTGCATTCAGATTGAGACGTAGTTCAGGCTGCCAGCCAATGTTCGTTTTCAGATTCCAGTTATCCAAATACTGACCATTATTACGCTGATCCGACCAGCCCGCCGTTGGAGGTGGAAGCGGTGAATCGGGTTTGATTTCGTTACGATTTATTGTCGATTTGGAGCTGATCATTTGTGAAGCTGGTTTGGCGACGCCTAGAGGGGATTCACCAGCCGTGAAAGTGCTTCTCTTTGACGCAGATGCAGTTGGCTTATTGACAGTGCTAACAAAATTATGGCAGCGTTGTAGAACTGGGGGTGGCGTTTGCTCTGCTGTTTGCTCTTCTTTCAGCTTAGAGTACACATATGCCATCACAGCTAGCGAAGTGAATATATATACTAGATTTGGTAGTAAAGATAACAGATATAACATAACTTATTACACAGATTAGATGCAACTTACAGTTGATGAATAAATCAATTATGTTATGATAATCAAAGTTAATCACTCTGAATACCAATAAAAATATAGTCAAAAGGAACCAAAGTTTGATGGGGCATAGACCTTTCTTAAGCAGGCACAGTAGGAGAAAGGTGTTGACAAATAAATAAATTCCATACGCTCCCGTCCAACGCACGTCAGTTGATTCTTTCGCTACAAACAAATACATATTTTATATATATATATATATAATTTTTTTTATACATATAATATTAGATATATTTATATATGCAACTTACAGTCCTTATTGTCTGATGTAATTTTTTTGATTGCCGTTCCCCAAAGATAAAATGTGATGACAATATTTACGGAGACAATGGTGACTCCCAAGTCTTGAGGGCGCACCATTGCGAATACAACAGCTTACAGGGTAGATTGAGAGAGTTAAAGAGCGTGCCAGCTAAGAGAGAGTATGACGCATGCTGTGGAACCCATTCAAATAGCAAACAACAAATTTTCCTAAGTACTTTTGATTTTAATGTAAATAACAAAAAATATTAATAAAAATAATTATGATGTAATTATATATTATTTTATATATCCTTAAATATATTAGTTATATTTATAAAATTAACCAAAGCAAGTAAAATTTCAATCAAAGTTCAAGGCACTTTTTTCATATGACATATAGAAATTTTTGAACTATAATTATTTCATGACTCTTTTTTATTAAAGTAAGCACTTCTTAGCTTCAGTTAGTCTTCAAATCTTATGTGAGTTTTATACGGCACAGTTTGTTAGCTTTATCAATCCCGACTACAGGCGAACCATTCGAACACTCAAGACCTTTCGACCGGCAAGGGGGTTCAGCGTAGACTGGACTAGACAATACTTTTTTTTTTTTTTTTTTTTTTTTTTTTTTTTTTTTTTCGTTTTTATTTCTTTATTTTGTTGCAGCTTATTGTCTTAGACTCTATAGCGCATTTAGCTCTAAACCTTAACTAATGGGAGGGCAGATATGCCAATTATTCTGCACTTGTAGCTACTATCTTAATTAGTTCTAATATTGTCTAGAGGATGCAATCTCTTCAGTCTTCGCCTATTGTTGTTTATAGCCAGGTTGCTTGCGAGATGGTTAGGATGCGCTGCAAGTCTGTCCGCGTATCTTGAACTGTGTCGCCCAATGAGTTCAGCAACTGTGGGAATTGCTAAATCCCTATGTAAGACTGAGTTTCTTACAAACCAGCTGGCTCCAGTCCATCTGCGTAGTGCTTTATTCTGCAGGGTCTGAATTTTGTTCCTTGTAGTCTTCGCCGAGGAGCCCCATAGAGAGATACCATATACGAAGGTTGGGACAACTATTGCCTTGTAGATGGCGGCCTTGCTGCTGTAAGACAACTTGCTTGAAGCTCTCAGCATCCAGTCGAGGGTTTTTAGCTTGCTTTTGCATTTTGAGGTTACTTGACTTATGTGCGCTTTAAAAGTCAGCCTTCTGTCAAGAGTGATACCAAGGTACTTTACTTTTGAGGCTTTGGGAATAGTGGGCCCCAATGCAACGCTTGGGCAATCTCCTCTTCTAGTGGCGAAGGTAGTATGTACAGACTTTTGTGCATTAATGGTGATACACCACCGTTTTGCCCAGCGTCCGAAAGAGTCCAGATATTTTTGTAGTGAGTCTGAAGCTTCTTGCGCAGATACGTGACGTGATAAGATGGCGGTGTCATCTGCATAGGTCGCTATGAGTACTGCATCTGTACTTCCTATATTTGGCTCGGGAGTTGGCATATCTCCTGTGAATAAAGTATAAAGTGTTGGGCCTAGAACACTACCCTGTGGTACTCCAGCCATAATTGGTCTAGTCAAGGATACTGTTTGCCCCCTTGACACTTGGAAGGTTCTTCCAATAAGGTATGAGGATAGCAACGCGAAAAATGGGGCTGGAAGGGTGGTCCTCACTTTCTGCAGCAGTCCCAGGTGCCAAACTCGATCAAACGCCTGTTTGATGTCTAAAAAGACGGCAGAGCAGTACATCTTTTCTTCAAAGGCTCCAAGGATATGGTGCACAACTCTGTGAACCTGTTCCGGTGTTCCATGCTGTCTCCTGAAGCCAAACTGATGGTTTGGAATGGCCTCCTGGCGTCCCAGATGTGTCAGTACTCGTTCCAGAAATATTCTTTCGAATATTTTGGAGAGTACTGGCAACAGGCTAATTGGTCTGTACGACTCAATTTCTCCCACGGGTTTGCCAGGCTTAGGAATCATCACAATCACGGCGCGCTTCCAGCAGGCTGGAAAGTGCCGGATGCGGAGCATGGCGTTGTACACCATAGTTATGTAGTCTATGGTGGAGTCAGGCAGTGCTCTAAGGACTCTGCCGTTTATTAGATCATATCCAGGGGATTTTTTTGCCTTCACTCTTCTGATGTGTTCAAGAACCTCTTCTTTTGTACATCCAGTTATCTGGTCTTCAGCTGGGAGGGGCGAGAGAACGATGTCTTCTGTTGCTTCGATTTCTGAGGCCTCTGCGGTAATCACCGGCGTGAATTGGTCTTGAAGGTGGTTTGCAAAAGCCTCAGCTTGAGCTTCGTCTCCAATGTGCCAGGAACCAGAAATGCTCCGAATGGGATGACGTCGTATTGGCTGCCGTTTGAGCTTTCTTGTAAATTTCCATAATTGAAACTCTGCGTCAGTGGGCGATTCAGCTCGTACCAGCGCATCGCTGATACACCTCTTTTGAAGCAGGGCGAGAGCAGCTTTAAGATGCCTCGTGGCTTCGTTGTACATGGATTTGGCATCAGGCGTGCGTAATCTTAACCAGCGTCTCCTGGCCCATCTTTTGTGTATTAGTAGGTGTTGGGCCTCCAAGGTGAGGGGGATGTTGTACGGAGACTGTTGTCTTGTTTGGCAAGATGGTGGGGCGGCTTGGTGCGCAGCTTTGACTATTTCTTCCTGCAGTTTGTTTGCTGCGTAGTCCACGTCTTCAGGAGTGTTAAGTTCCATTTCTATGTGCAAAGAGTAATGGAGCTCGCGCCTAAAGACTCCTAAATCTGATCCTGCTGGCAGTAGTTGTTTCCTAATGGGCAAGGGCTGTGGCTGCGCGTGGATTGTGACTATTAGTGGCAGGTGGTCAGAGGATAGGTCCAAGGATTCTTCAATGGTCAATTGCCGGTCACAGATGCCTTTGTAGACAGCGAAGTCGATTGCCGAGGGCCTGTGTCCATTAATTGGGTAACGGGTGGGGGCTCCAGTCGCCAATATGCTGAATTGTAAGTTTTGAATCGCCTCAAATATGACTTCTCCGCGACGATTCGCACTATTGCTTCCCCAAAATGGGTGCCATCCATTCCAGTCGCCGCCGATGAGGGTCTTATTCAACCTTTGGCCTAGAACCTGTTCCATGTGATGATCACACAGACCAGTGTTTGGCGGAAGATAAATTGACGCAACTTCGATCGCTCCAATAGACGTAGGCAGGGTGATGGCTGAGACCTGCATTGTTGCGTTGCAAATTGGCAGTAAAGGTGTATGCGGTATTGTTGCTCGTATGAGGATTGAGGATCCACCAAAGCAGTTTGCTCCTTCACCATGAGCCTGATAGTGTTCGTATCCGAAAATTTGTGTAGTGGGGCACTCATGAGTTTCTGTTATTAACATTATATCTATGTTTTCTTGTGAGAGAAACGCAGCCAGTTCCTGAGTCTTGTTTCTCAGGCCATTGGCGTTCCAGATACCCACACGTAAAGCCATTATTTGTAGGCAAGCTTGGTTATGATGGCCATTAAACTGTTTAGCATGGTTGCTTGTTGGGATTGTACTTCTCGCATCGCTTTGAGCTCGGCATTAATTGCGTCAAACTGACGTTGTTGTTGCTGAAGCATTTCAGTGAACAAAGTGTCACTTGTGGTATTCTTATTTGACGGTCCACCTCTAGCGGCCTGTGCGTAAGAAACACCACTAATAGGCGTTGCAAAGCTCGTGGCTTGGGTAATGCTCCGGGGCCTTGTAATTTCGGAAGCAGTACTCGGACCCGTAGACGGTGTTTGTGTGGGACTCCTTTTTTGTGCTGGGGATTGCAATTTGCGCAACCGCTTGTATACTTGGCAGCCCTTATAGTTGGCTGGGTGCTGTAACTCACAGTGCACACAAGTTGGTGCCTGGTCCTTTTCGCGGGTGCAGTCTTTGGATGCGTGTTTCCCGGCGCAACGCACACATCTGGGAGCTTTGTGGCAGTAGCGTTGTGTGTGTCCAAATTCTTGACAGCGATGGCATTGTGTCAGGTCGTTGTATCTTCTTGGCAGTTCCACTGTGCAGCGTTGCCTGCAGACAACTCGAATGTCCAAAATTTCTTTGTTGTTGGGGGCCTGAGCCACGTCAACAAAAAATATATTTAGCGGTGTTTTGTCCATACGGCTCAGTGGGTTGTGCACATTTGTAATTGTGTGGCCTTTGGTTTCCAATTCCTTTTTAATTAGTGTTGTATCAGTGCTGGAGTGAAGCCCTTTGAACACGACTCTATATGGTTTGTCCTCCTTAAGCTGGTAGCAGTGGAACTCCAATTCCAGCTTAGTAAAGTGGTCTATAACTCTGCGATAGTCCTCACTGCATTGGGTTAATACACCTATGTTATTCTTCTTTGGCTTAATTACGTATGATTTAGCATCAATTACTTTATCTATTATCTGTTGAAGTAGGGCCACAGACTTGATGTTTGGACACCATATGGGGGGCGGACGAGGTTTCGGAGTAGTTTGCTGGTCGGTCAATACTGGGGCTTCTGGAGCTACAGGTGATTCGCTGTAGTCTTCATCTTCTTCTACGAGCAGTGAAAATCGATTTTCTGATATTAATGCTGCATTGCTGGTGCTTGGTTCGTCGAAGATGAGCCTTTTCTTGATGGTTTTTGGTGAATTTGGCTGTTTACGTTTCGTGTTTTTGTTGTTAGTGATGCCTTGCACGGAGGCGATATCTATTTTTGAGTTTATTGGCATGATGGAGGCTTGCCTATTTGCCATCACAACGTTAAGCTGGGCTTGCATTTCTGCATTTACCTTTACAGCTGTAGCGAGGTTATTGACATTAGATGTCATCGCGGATTGTGCTTTTGAGTGCAGGCGCACTCGCGCCAAGCGACGAAATTTCGTAAATTGCAATTAAAGCAATTGAGTTACGCGGAAGCAAGCGATAAGAAAACGCTGCGTGTGCGGTTTTTGTTGCTGTTGCGTTGAAGAATGCACCGCAAAGTTCTATTTTTAGAACTCTGCAGCAGTAGAGCTTAAGCGAAGGCTGTTCGAATTCACGTCTTTACAGGTCGAACGACTGATCGCGATTGTGACAATACTTAGCAATAACAGCTGGCATAGCATTAAGAGAGAGCGGTAGACTCAAAATGTGGAACCTAATTAAATGTTCAAGAAAATTCTTACTCTCTAATGACGAATGCTAAATACTCTTGCAAGACTTTGCTGCTTTAAAGAAAAAGGGTATTAGCTGATAAATAAGAAAGCTCTAAGTGTATACAAAATTGCCCAAAGAGACTTCAACTG